GACGAAAATTTGAAGTTCGATTGAAAAAAAGATGTGGATAATTCTAGCCGAAGCTTTCACGTTGACCTCCGCTCTTAGCCCTCACCAATACGAATATCTAGTTTCATTCCGAACGCAAAACGAGTTACGAGCCAGGAAAAAAATTCTGGTTCATAATCGCAACGACTCACCTTTTCAAACGAAAAGTCCTGAACTTGTCATTCACGGATCATCACGTCTTGCTCTGTGGAAACAGCCAATCCGTAGGCATTATGACTACCAGCACCGAAGCGTCTGCCATTTAAGCACGATTGCAAAGATTCACATCATCGCATTCACCGCACACTCACAAATCTGCAACGCCGGCGAATATACATCGCTGTGCTATAACGGAAACAATGAACGTTTAACCACTTTCAATCATTTCCGAAAGTGCAACACTTATTTTATAAAACTACCTGACATTACAGGAACGTGATTACTAACAAGGTAACGAGATGGCCTGACAAGGTAAACAGGTTTTTTTTCTTCTGCCACACCAACTTTTTCTAAGAAGAATTAACTGCGTAATTAATCGGGTTGTGAGCCGAGGTATAGTCAAGAAGTTGATGGCCTTGCCTGCATGATCACTACAGGAATAGATGGAAACTACATGTTTTTGCTAACTTACAGTTCATTTCGCCGCCAAAAGCACTCGGGGAGAGCAATCTGAGGCAGTGATCGAAGGCTGTCACCTGAGCATATTGAATAGATACCTGCGCAGGTAAGAGAAACAGGTGATGAGAATACACGGTGAAGAGATACACAGATATGAATACACAGACATTATCATATTCGCACACAATAGAGTAAACACTCAACATAGTGGTTTGTATACTTGTTTTTACCACTGGTGAAGTGAAGAATACTGCTGTAGCTATTTTGAGAGCCCTAAGCCTAGAATGCGACATGTATGTAATTAATGTAGTGTGAGAATTAAAACCAACACCGAATTGCACTCTTCGAATATCTTCTATGAAAGGATGGCATTCATTACAATAGTAAATATATTATATCAGGAAGTGAGTAAAAATCACACCTGATAATATGCATATATAAAGAGAGAGAGAGAGAGAGAAAAGAGAGAGAGAGAAGGACAGAGAGACAGTAGAGACAGAGAGACGAGAGACGAAGAGAGAGAGAGAGAGAGAGAGAGAGAGAGAGAAGAGAACACAGAGAGAGACAGAGAGATAGAGAGACGAGAGACAGAGAGAGAGAGAGAGAGCGAGAGAGAGAGAGACTAGAGAGAGAGAGAGAAAGGAGAGAGAGAGGAGAGAAGGGAGAGGGAGAGAAAGAAAGAGAAGAGGGAGAGTAGAGAGAGAGAGAGATCATCAACCACTTGTCCTGGTTGGCACATATCCGGTCCCGGATGAAGCTGAGTAGTGACGCGACCCTCACCGTGGCGCGAGTGTGCACTGTCATTCCAATGAGGTCATACTCGTAGCTCTCCACCTCACCACCTGCTGTCCAAACGAACCAGACATAACATACAAGCATCGTGTCAAGGGGGAATGACAAGAACCATGGCCACCGGTTGACCCCAACGCGTCAATTCTTCGGCATCATGCGCCGGTCGGAACTGTCCCATATTCCCACCCGACACGTCTCGATCAAATACTTGAATATATTTGTATATATATATATATATATATATCATATATATATATATATATATAAATGTGCATGTATGTATATATCAATATATAATATATATATATATATATTGATATGGGCCGCTTAGCTGTTGGCATTAGGTTAACGTGAGTGGAACAACAACTGAAACAAACCTAGGGCGCAAGGTCAATTACTGAAAGACGACATGTACTCCTTGCAAATATCATCGAACACGGGTCACGGTACCATTTTCAAATAATGAAACCCTGCCGAATACATATACAACAACAGGTGTATGCACACGCACACGTGCACGCAACGCACAGCACGAACTGCGCACCGACAAACCACGCACAGCAGACGCACGCCATCGCAACACACACCACACACGGGGACACACACACACACCGCACACCACATGTTATATATCCCTCAGCAGTCTCACAAAACGCCAGCTGTCTGTTGTGCACGCGTGCCGCGGCGACGCGCGACTCACGGCCTCATCGCTGGCCGTGCCCATGAGGCCTGGTCCTCGGTGTATCCCGCGGTCATGTCGAGCATGCAGTGGGGAAGCCTGAAAGTGTGTGTTCACCTTCTCCTTCATTCATCGTGATCATGTTGAAGAGGTAGCGCATTGTGTTGCAGCAGTAGGATGCGATGGCACTTCTTGAAGCACGCTCCTGCATGTGTAATCACACACGTTAGGGAAGGAGCGCGCGCTCACCCCCCCCCCCCCCCCCCGCGAGCGCGACTCACGCACGCATCTTTAGCTCTTATTACTGTCTCTACCGGAATGATTTTCTTTTAGATATAATGTCACAGCTTCAAGTAAACAATGAGCTTGGCGCATCATGGGTTACAATCCGAGGGGTGAACATGTACATTACATGTAAATAAAAACAAAAAAAAAAAAAAAATTATTCATGTACATAATGGTGGCATTACATGTAACTATTAACAATGCGCATTCTGCTCGAGGGAGCCGCTATTTTTTTAAATAATCATCATTGATTAAATAATAAATAAAATTTTAATAATTTATGCTAAGTAGTTATTAAAAAATTTTAATTGAAATAATTATCGAATAGAATGTATTCGTGGATAATTACATACAATTGTGTTTATAAATGAAATAAATATGATATTTGTTCTACAATGAAATCGTTAATTGTGTGCTGTGCTAATGGTTGTATATTTATTGAAACTAACGCATTATCACATCTGCTGGGTGGCAGTACTATATGCCAAGAACGCAACACCATTATGGTTATCTATGAAGTGGTGGTGGGGGGGGGTCAAAGAGGCAGAGTGTACACCCAAAATCTTTTTGTTCAAGATATTCACTGGTAGCAAATGTCAATACTCTAGCATCCATTAATATTCTACACGTTTGCAGTTGGAAACCTATTCACCACGAATCACTCTCGACTCTTAAGACAGCGACAATGGATTTTGCGCCCAGGACACAGCAGAAGACACTAGACAGAGCTCTGCCGTTTTCCAGCCTCGGACTTCTTACTGCAACTGCGAAGCAAAGTGTACATGTTTGTCGCCTCGTAAAGTATCCTTCACTGTGACTCATGCCAGCGGATTCCTGCAAGTAGGCAAACGCCATCAGAACTTGTAATTCTCAGTATGTCTATATCAGAGCAGAATGTATTTTAACACAAAAAATCAATCAAGAATTGAACAGAAATCTTTTGCTTTGTGCAGAATTATGTTGGCCTTCACTGACACAGCCAAGCTAAAATATTCGGCAGATATCAATATACGATCAAAATGAATGTGTTGATGATTTACAAGTATCAAATATGGGAAATCAAATGGAAATGGGATGAATAAGATTCATTATTTGGTTTACATAAATGAAATAAGTATAAATAAAGTAAATATAAGTAAACTCAGCATAAAGCGTTCTTCAATCTGACACTTGACATCTAACACAGTAGAATCCTCTTCTGTTTTGCTAAACTGAAGGGCAGTCCTGTGTGGATAGTGCAACATCTTGTATTATACACACACATTACTACATGTGGCTGGCATTTGGCAGAGATGACATAATTGCACTCCTAATGGTATTCACCAAGAAAATACTTTCTTATGATTAAAATTACATCTTAAGCTGGCCTGGTTGTAGAGTGCATAACATCGAGGAATAGTTCTTAATTCCCTTCACAACAAATATGATTGTCACATGCATCTGCACACGTGATTAAATCATCATATTTTTGCAATCGCCAGGAGACCAAGTATCAAGATTTTTAAATAGAGCTTACAATGATATCCACGTTATTCGTTTATCACTCCACTGAATAAATTCTTCATTAGTTCCTTCTGGCAAAAGTATGCATAACCATAATATGTAACATCTGCAACACGAGTATTAGAAAAATGTAAACACGGCGGTGCCTACTATGCTAAGGGTGGCTAATTAGGGTTTAGGTATCTACTGTTATACACTAATATAAAGGGAGTATGCAATGTTATGTGAATACCATTACATATTAGCCCTAACGGATAGTGTAATATTACATAGTACTGGTGACGACATTATATCTACGAGACATTGTGCTATTAGTATTAACATTTTTACGTGCGTAATGTCTATGGAACAGCTTGAACCTAACATAGGCCCACTACGTTGGTATTGTGTTAGGAGATGGTGGTGAATACAATGCAACGGGTCGTCTGGTAATGCAACAGAGCTGTGCGATGTTGTCGGCTACTCACCAGCTGATGGCGACATCTCTCAAACTTGCTCACTAGATGCCAGTGAAGAACTCAGTCATGTGCCTTCTGCTTCCTCCTGTGTTTCCAAGTGCTGATTGTCGCATCGTGGTACACCTTACAGAAGTTCTTCGGTTGTACACCTTTCGTTCACTGTCCTGAAAGTTCCACGCCAGAGATTAGTTTCTTTTTTGAAACAGCATAGCACATTTTAGGCATTGGATATGATATTCCTTTTACTGCTGTTGTTTTGGTTTTGTTTGTTGTGTTGTTGTTTTTTTAGTTTTTTTTTCAACCGATATATGAATACATTATAATTTCATTGATCACAGTGGGCTTAATAATAGTGTGGTGAAAACACCATTCGATATGCTGGCAGAACCATAATGATATTAGACTTCATGACAATATCCTGATTTCTAAACCTACAATCAAGCAGGGTTATGGTTTATATCCTAAAGTAAAAAAAATATGATGGTTCACGTCTTATATATAACGATGAAAACAAATTATAAATGCATATTTTTAATACAACTTATTATATAACACATACATGTTACATGCTCGCAGAGGTATGCACTCTCCGTGAGTGCCCTCTGTCTAGTTATACGTGTTATACATGACAAAAAATTTCCACATACCAGTAAATAAGCGAACATTCTCTGCAACTCTCGCAGTGTTTCCTCATGTTTTCCTTCCTTAGAAACCTATTCAAAACATCATGCTTATCAGTACTTTTATATAGTACGAATGTGCAAAACGTACACACCAGTTTCCGAACATCGTCTTTTAAAGAACACCGATTAAGTTATCTAACTGCGTTCAGGCGATCCCAAACCAAGAGTAACGAAATGATAAATCACTTATGCCAGTACACACTCAACATGTGAAAAAAAAAACGGAAAAAAAACAATAACTTGACTCTTGACGTGTTCTCAAACATGATCTGTCTGCTGCGAGTACGTACGTCGATGTAAACAAACCGCTCGAGTGAATGAGCGCGAGCGAGCGCGCAGCATCCTTACCCTCGCTGCTAACACGGAAGCCCTCGCCTCCGGCATCATGAACAGCTGCTGTATCGACGACGCCATGTAGCAGGTGGCGCCCAGGTTCTGCAGGCCGACGTAGCCACACTGCGATCGCTCGCCGTCGCGCGGCCACATGTCCCACGGGTACGGCGCATGCGCGGCTGACGTGCGAGAGAGCGAGAGAGAGAGAGTGAGATGAGCGAATGTCTCATTTCAGTATAAAATGTGTTTCGCCTACGGCCGTCAAAGTGCGTATGCTTAGATGAAGGATGTCCAACTAGTACGGTATGTTTACACGGTTTCTCGAGCTGACCTTGACTAAATATCAACATCAAATATGCTTTTTACACATTAATTATGTAATCTTACAAATTAATTAACAAAAATTCTTAAATTTACAAGTTGGTTTAAGAACCTGCATACTGCATAAATGGTAACCATATTTGATTTGGAAACACATGCTCAGCAAATTTTTTTTCAGTAAAATAATTAAATAAATAAATAAATGATAAGTTACCTTGGGTGTGCTGCACAAGCACCTTACTGTGCAAGAACTCATAGTTGGACACTGAACCTTTAACTAACTCCACGAGAAGATCGAACGCACACGAACGTGACGTCTGGGTTTTGCACTTTGGTAGATGGCGCTGTTTCAGCGTAGGTAGCGCAAAGAGACACTCGAAGACCACTGCGATGAATTCCTGTTTAGAGCCAGACACGTTACAGTAAAGATATGATAAGGCGTTGATGTGTATGTATATATGTTGCATCAGGACATGTAGGCGTTGTTTCGAAAAAATTAACAGGTGCATTAACTATTTATAGTTGTTGTGCCACAGGCTCCAGATTTACATACTTCTACACACGTACGAGTGGAAATATGTGCCTAGTTAGATCATAGAACCTCTGCAACTATGTATGTTATGATGTGATGACAGTTCACTATGATGTAACAGTAGAACCGCCGCTTCATCACAATAGCCACATCATCACAGCGGCGGCACAATAGTTGCTCTGATTTCACAACGATTACCACGACGTGACAATGAATGCCACGGTGTAACAATGCTTGCCACGACGTGACAACGCTTGCCAGGATGTGACAATGCTTGCCAGGACGTGAACGTTTGCCACGACGTAACAACGCTTGCCAGGATGTGACAATGCTTGCCAGGACGTGACAACGCTTGCCAGGATGTGACAATGCTTGCCAGGACGTGAACGTTTGCCACGACGTAACAACGCCTGCCAGGATGTGACAATGCTTGCCACGACGTGACAACGCTTGCCACGACATAAAAACATGCCACGTCGGCTGTGCTTGCCTTGATCTCGGGCGAGAACTTGTAGGGCGGGTTGTGCTTCATTGCGGCCGTGCAGAGCTGCAAGAGTCCGATGAGGCCGTCGTCCTCACCGCTGCGCCGCTCCAGCTGCTCACGCGCTTCCACGCACGCTGCCAGCTGCTGCACCATGCTGTCCAGCTCTAGCACCGCGCTCTGCAGACAGCACAGACACGGTAG